GGTTAAATTTCTTAGACACTATATCAATTTATAATTCTATAATTTTTGAACATATCAAAGGAAATGATAATAATATTGCAGACCAATTAAGTAGATTATTAATCAAAGTTTAATTTAAATATTTCAGAATGAGACCATCTTTTCAAGACAAGGGCAAAGGAGTTCAACCTCCGACCCAAGATTATTCAGACATATACAAACAGACAGTACTTTCTAATTTACATTTTAGACCCTTAAATAGAATAGATGATAATAGAATAGATAGATTACAATTTGGACAACATAATTTAATAGCATATGAATCATCTAATTTAACTTTCAGAAGTTTACCTATACATCAAATAGACAGACAACAAAAATGCTTAATAGACAATATATGGATAGCTCATAATAAGAAGAACACAAAGTATATAATTGCAGTTTTAAACACATTAGGGTTTTATTTTAATAGTAAAAATAAAGAAAATAAATTTAAATACTATGTTGTTGTTCATGGAAAAACAAATGAAAATTTTCAAACTTGGATAGAAGTATTAGATTCTATTAAAGGATTTTCAAAACCTCTTTTCAAAGGTTTTAATGATTTTACTGAAGCACTAGATTATGCTAGAGGGGTATTAGGCCCAAATTATTATATCTCTCCTTCTCTCAAACAAAATCCAGACAAAATTCCTCAATACCACATTCAGAAAGACACAGACAAGATTATATTTTGCGATCATTGTTCTTCAATGACCGAAGCTTTTAAGAGGTTAAACCTCAAAAATGAAATGTTAGCTCAGGAAAATCTCCAATTAAAAGAAAGAATTGAGAAAATGAAGAAAGACAATCAGATCATTATACGGGGGTTTCCATCCCCAATAAAAATGGATGAGATGGGTGTACAGTCCCCTCTGAATGTAAAGAAATCCACTGTATCGGATAGAGATACAGCTAGTCCGGCTCAAACAGTAACCGGTAAAGACTCATCAAATCCGTTAATGGCTGTCACTTTGCCAAAAAGTAAAATAGAAGAAGGTTCATCCTCAAGAAGACAATTACCAATTTCCTTTAGCCAGAAAATTAGACAAAAAACCAAAAAATTACAAAAAAATAAAGACTTAGAATCAATTATAACCAAAACTGTAAGAAAACTACTAAAAGAACAGCAAGACAAAGACAAACATATAAACCCTAGTCCAATACAAAGTCCAATACCAAGCCCAAGACAAAATTCAGATATAAGCCCAAATAACTCAGACGGATTTTCAGACACTATGCAATATGCTCAAGACCCAAATGACTATGATTCCGGTATGAGTTTTGATTCTGTAGCTTTACATAATTTAGACACATAATATATATATATATATATATATATACACACACACACACACACACACACACACACA